AGGTTTTCAGAGTTGAAAAAAATAGTTATTTTTACCTCCATAAAGTGAAGTAGGATGCTGGTCCATCCACAAAAAAACAATGCTGGCATCATTTCCTGAAAATAACTATTACAGTTTCTTTGAGAAATTGAGCTATTGAGAAAGACTTTCTGAGTGACAGTAAAGTCCCCAAGTTGGGTTACGAAGTATATATATTTAATCAGTCTTTAGCAAGAGTAGTACCTACTCAAGCACTTAAGAAAAAGATTGCATGATAAAGCACAGTTTCTCTGACTTTTCAAATTTAGAGTTGATTTGATAAATGCTATGCATTTTCATTATATAAAGAAAAAAATGAATGTCATAATAGAGAAATAGATGGGTTCTTTGACTTAATTTAGTTTCATCACTTGCTCTTTCTGTGGGAATATCATTCAATCTATCTTATTACAAAGAATATATACAAGGATTTGTGGTAGCTATGGAATTAACCTATGACATGACAGAGTGTTTTTTGTCAGCCTAAAATTTCTTTTTTTTCTGGCTTTGGCTCATTGATTTTGAAATAGAGTCATTTTATATTCTTTTATATCTAAGTCCTTCAGAAATATACATTGCTTAGTAATATTTGATAAGCAAAACCCATTGTTACAGTGCAATGTAATAGTCAAAGAATGATATCTTTCTCACTTATTATACTACCTACTTGTTTAGTGATAGTTACATATAAACCTCTTGTACCATGGTAGATGAAGACAGCACTATGATCTCAAACTTAAGACTCCAGTGGAAATAAATTATTGGTCCTATTTAGTGTTTTTGTTATAATAATTCTCAGAAGAATAAAGTATAATTTAAAAGATATATTCTTATTGATTTCTTAAGGAAGAGGGAGAAAGAGAAAGACCAATCTGCTGCCTCCTACATGCCCACTACCCTGAATTGAGACAGCAACCCTGATATGGAATCAAACCGGTGACTTCGTGGTGTATAGGACAACACTAAATCCACTGAGCAACACCAGCTGGGCTGAATGAGATATAATTTTAATGTCATTTCTGGTTTATGAAAGGTTATAAATTTTAAAAAATTCATTGCTTTGAACTTTAACCTTTTCAGCCTTCTGTAGTTTGATTGGTTACATGTTGCCTCTTCCACCAGGCTACAGAAGTTGTAAAACCAGAAAATAAAAATGGCTAGTGAATCATTCTTTGGGACATGAAAAAGGTCAAAGTTGTACAGTTAATTATTATCTTGTAGAGAATATGAAGCCATTAAAATTCCTATGCTGTAATCTTATGACAAGGAATATATTGAGAACTATAAATAATAAACAGTACAACATGAATCTTCTTGTAACAATGATTAAAACTTAAAATAGGAAATATTTAACCCATTCCCTTCAAAAGGAAGGAATACTTGGTCATTGTTAATCTTCCCCTTTCATGTTTAGGAGCTATTTAAGCCACAGGAAAAAAAAGGAAAGCATACATGTTTCAGGAGTGTTGAATATATTTTGTTATAAGCACTTTTCAAAAGGAATAGGCTGTTGTGGTATAGGATTAATATCAAGCCATATTGCATCAGAATAATTAAAAAAATAATTTTAAGGTAATCATCTGTTTAAAACTGGATGTTTTGCTGTCTTGGTGGACCTGTGATAACAAAATTATATAGTATTTCTATACAGAAGCCACGAATAAAAAAAATAGTTGCAGCCCAACTGGCTTAGCTCAATGGTTGAGCATTGACCTATGAATGAGGAGGTCTTGATTGGATTCCCAGTCAGGGCACATTCCCTGGATTGTGAGCTCTGTCCCAGATGTGGGGCCTGCAAGAAACAGTCAATCATCATTTCTTCCTCAACATTGATGTTCTCTTCTCTTCTCTCAATCTCTCTCTCTCTCTCTCTCTCTCTCTCTCTCTCTCTCTCTCTCTCTCTCTCTCTCCTTTCAACTCTGAAATCAATAAAATATATATAAATACTTGCATTTCATTTGCATTTAGCAATAAGATTTCAAGCTTATTAGATCCTTACATTTATTGATAGCTATTATATAGGTACACAGCTCTACATAAGCTATATATTCAGTATATATCTTACATAATAAAGAGGTAATAATGCAAATTGACCTTCACACCATGGCACAAGATGGCTTCCCCCATGTGGTCAAAGATGGCCACACTCATGAGGTCAAAGATGGCCACCACAGGATGGCTGGCAGGGGAGGGTAGTTGTGGGCAAACAGGCCAGCAAGGAAGGGCAGTTGGGGGCAACTGGGCCAGCAGGGGAGGGCAGTTGGGGGTGATTGGGCCATCAAGGGAGCAGTTAGGTATTGATCAGGCTGTCAGGGGAGTGGTTAGGGGGTGATTAGGCTGGCAGGCAAGTGAGCAGTTGGAAGCCAGCAGTCCCAGATTGTGAGAGGGGTGTCTGAATGCTGGGTTTAGGCCAGATCCCTATGGGTTAGGGATAGGTTCTGGCCTAAATCAGCACTCGGACATCCCTTGAATGGAGGGGTTCCAGTGTTGGAGAGGGTGCAGGCTGGGCCGAGGGAATTTTGTGCACCAGGCCTCTCTCTCTATATATATATATATCATACACCACAGAGGTATAAATAAAACTTCAATGTCTCTATTTGCTCATAGTTATTCTTTGTTGCTTACTTTAGTTGTTTAGGAATGACATAGAAAATAAACAGAAGGTGTTTGGAAAGAGAACAAAGCATTGTAAAAAGAGAAGATTGTATTGGTGGCACTTTTTGTTACAATGAATTTGTCATGGTTGCTGTAATTGTGAGTAAAGTCTTTATGAGCATTTATCAGGGCACTTCCTTCAAGAAGGAAAAAGTATCCTTGTTCTGCTGCCACTTACCACACCTTTTGGCAACTCTCCAGAGATGCAACACTGCATTGATATAACAATTTGAATCCTTGTCAAAATATTTAACATCTGGCTCAAAAGAGATTTTTGATGACAATAAGCATGCTCAACTCCTCTGTTCATTAAGGCTGAAAATTCAATAAGTGCTTGGTATGCTGGGACTAAGCTACCTCATAGTGAACAGCTGTCAAATGATTTGCTGAATACTTCTGCTCAACCCACCACAGTGAATTGATGGAACTGCGCCAGCTTCAGGACATACACAGACTGAGGGAAATTTTAGCAAGCTTCTTCTGAGCTTTGCACTACCACCTATAAATATAGAACAACCTATTAAGAGACAAAGAAACTTACTGGATCTGCATGTCCTTTGTACCCAGGGGGCAAAGAAACAGTGATTGGTGCTAAAAGAGCATTAATGGTCTTGCTTGTAGAATAGGTGTCATTTTGATCTGTGGGTTTTGTCAGGCTTTAACCGAGATCTTACACCACATACATCATTAGCTCTTGGCATGAAAAAAAATGCTCATTTGAAGAATTGTCCTCTAAAGACATTTCTAATCTAGTGGTTGTTCATATACAATGGCACTGTGTTTTAGGGCACCTTTGTGAATTAAGTTGTGCAGTGATCAGAATGGCCATCTTTCCACCCTGCTTGCTATACCAATATTTCTGTTTCTTGAACTTGAAAAAGCTCCCATCTGGGCATTTTGATAATCTTCCAGAACCATTGTTTTAATGGGGTGCTGTAGCACATTATGAAGAGTGCAAGTAGCAGCATTAGAGAAAATAATTTCACATGAGTAATATATTTTCACTTGCATTTATAAATCTGAGTATATACTAGCCCTTTTTTTCAGAGAATGGGTAAAGGGATCACCTCTGTTCTACCTTGTTCCTGGACTTTTTAAGCCAATCTTACATATACCATCCTATCTAATGAGGGAATATGCTAATTGGCTCTCATGCCTTCAGAAAGATGGTGCCACCCACAGCCAATAGGAGGGAATATGCTAATTGACTGCCCTGCCCTTAAAGATGGCATTGCCCACAGCCACAAGATGTTGGCACCCAGTCCCCTCAGACCCCCAGCCATCCAGAGCCAGCCCAAGGCACAGGCAAGCCTTAAATGGCAGCTTCCCAGCAGCCCAGGGCCTGCCTGAGGTGCAGGCAAGCCTTGGATGGCAGCTGCCCAGCCACTTAGGGCTGCCCGAGGATCAGGTAACCAGGGCTGGCTGAGGCTTGAGCTGCCAGCAGTGGCAGCAGGGGTGTTATGGGGCATCGCCTTCCCCTTATCACCTGGTCTTACACCACCTACTGAGGTGGTGCCTCCTACTCCTGAGGGTTCCTGGACTGTGAGAGGGGACAAGCCGGACTGAGACCCCCCCTTCCAGTGTGATCAAGCAGGGCAGCAGAGGGGTTAGCAACAATTAGGGAGGCAGCCAGAGTTGTTAGGGGCTATCAAGCAGGCAGGAGAGAGTTAGAGGGTCAGGCAGGCAGGCAGAGTGCTTAGGGATGATCGGTCAGTCAGACAGGCAAGTGGTTAGGAGCCAGCAGTCCTAGATTGCATGAAAGTGCAGGCCGTGCTGAGGGATGCCTGCCCTGGCCCTTCATGAATGAATTTAGTCCACCAGCCTCAAGTGTACTTAATAATCGTCAGTTTTGAGAGGCAAACACTAGCTCATGTTTCAAACAACGCTCTCCATTTCTCCTGCCCATTTTCCTTTTTGACCTGTCAGCCTGATTCTGCCTCTAACTATGAAGTGTTAAGCTCTGTTACTCTCACCTCAGTCTCATCTAGCTACTTTTCTGTCAGTACATTCTTCTCTATTATCTGTACTTTGGTCTATCTTTATGAACCTTATTTACCTTAATACACCTATCCTGCTCTGAACAACCCCCATAACCTTAAGTAGGTAGGAATTTCCCACCGTAGACTTGGCCAAGTCTAAAAAGATTCCACTGGGCCCTCTATACAGTCACACAGCTGTAAGCCAGTGATAGGGAGCCAACTAAGCTACTTAGAAAACTTTGGGAGATTACTGATTTAATTTCCTTAAAATAGAAAACACAATCAAAGGTTTAGGCTCCCAGAGTGGTGTTTATAAAAATAATTCACAACACTTCTTCCACTTTTAGGATCTTTATTGAATATCCACATATGTAAGGTACATTATTGCTTAACAGAGAGTAAGAAGGTAGATGGTTTCAAATGCAAAAACATAAATTAATAGCTTACACCTCTTTCACCTACACTTTTTTACTTTCCCCTTTCTTTTTTATGATCTGTTCTCTCTGTTTAAGTATGGATGAGGTTGCATTCCAGTAGGAGGGAAATGGCCAAAATAGGAAAACACTGGGGGACGGCACATTGCGTGAGGAGGAAAAGGCATAGGTAAATTGAGAAATGGGTGGAAATTCGGAGGTACAGGTCCTATGAAGCAAGGACCATTAGGGAACCAACCTAAATGTGAAACATTAGGAGGCGCTGTGATGGGCCTTGGCCAATTGTCCATGGGGTTCCATGGACCTCCCATTGGGAAAGCAACTTGAGCCATCCTTTCATTGCCAGCCATTTTCGTATTTCCTGGAGGCACCTCCATCATTATCCCTGTTCTAATAGCGGGGTTAGGTGGGGGATCTCTTATTAATGGGGCCCTGGGTGGAAAGAACCCTTGACCTTGTTGCAAAGGCAACTGGAGCTTTGCCTTATTGACACCATTCTCAGTGCCCTCATTGCTGACTCTGGTTCCCTCTATCATCAGTGAGGGAGAGCAGCCAGGGGATTTTTGGGACATAGTAATAGAATCTTGTCCCATCTGGCTGCAGCCTGCCAACCCCACAGGACCATTTATTTTTGCTGTTGCTAGGGACCCTTTCTCAGCAGCAGGTCGTGACCCATATGGGTGTTTGAGAGCTCTTGAAATGTTGGAAGGAATGCAAGATCCTTTTCTCTCGCTGGGGCCCTCCAATTGCCCTCTTGCCAGATCTGGTGGCACGTAGAGGGGAGGTCTCAAAGGCATACGAGGTTTGCCCCAGGATTCCACCTCGTTCTTCAGCATGGTACTCGAACTCAGGCGAAGTATCTTGGGGTTTGGTCTCGGTTTCACATTTCCATCTACAGCCATTGCTATGGGTGAAGAAGCATGCTCTTCAAGGCTTGCAAAAATAGAAATAAATAAGTTAATAAAAATGAAAATGCAGCAACCAGGAAATATCTTTTTTTAAAGATTTTTAAAATATATATTTTATTGATTTTTCACAGAGAGGAAGAGAGAGGGATAGAGAGTTAGAAACATCGATGTGAGAGAATCATCTATCAGCTGCCTCTTGCACACCCCCCACAGGGGATGTGCCCACAACCAAGGTACATGCCCCTGGGACCTTTCAGTCCGTAGGCCAATGCTCCATCCACTGAACCAAACCGGTCCCTGCTTCAACCAGGAAATATCTTGAAATACGTGGTTGATGGAACTCGCTGAATACACCAGGGAAAAGGAGAGAGCTCTATCTCTTCCCCTGTGTAGTCAGAAAACACTTTTACAATTCGACCTCTTTGGCACCAGGTTCTATGATTACCCTATGGCTCCACCCCATTTCCCCCTCCCCCACCTCCTCATGGCAGCAAGGAAGACTAGAAGACCCAGATAGCTTCTTTAAGGGCCACAGAGTGTAGGTATGCCATAGAAAACACCAGCTCTTACAGTCCCAGTAGGATCTATGATCCACTAAACCTAGCATTCAGATTCTGGCAGCCATGCTTGGGACACTTGCGAGGGAAACATATTTTCTTTCCACAGAAGCTGAAGAAAGGTTATGTTAAAACACTGCAGTTTGTCCCTCTTTATGGAGCATCATTCAACGGTCACACGGAATTTTATTAAAATTTTATTTCATTCCACCCATACCGCACCCTAGAGTACGAATTTCCTTGTGTTTAAACCCCACTATTTAGACGAAGGATTTATAACTTCTGTTTTGAAATTACTTTTAAAAACCGCCACCCTTAAAGTCCGTATTCTTACTAGCTGAGCTTATAACCTACAAGTATCTGGGATCCCCTCCCATACCACCTCTGACCCACTGGTTCGTGTCCCACTTACACAGGAGAACAATTCAGTTGTTCTCAGTTTTGTACTTACACATTCTTCATACAAGCCATGAAGAAATTTGATCAGAAAGGCCGGAGAGAGTGAAGAAAACCGGCTGAACGCCCACGCAGGCCAACTCGGTCTGGAGCGATATCTTCTGCGTCTGCCTTACAGCAGTTCGGCCACTCGAATGAAGCCAGCGACCAACTGCTTTGTTCTAGGCTTGGTGTTCTCTTGCTGAGGTTACCTGTTGCTAGGTAACAGGGGCAGAAAAATGAGCGGGGAGGGGGAAGGTATAAATCTGTGACATTTTAAAGCTAAATGTATGATTCCTTTTTTTACACAGTAGTAGATGGATGTGAAAGACATTCAGTCCCTTAGCCCGGCTGCAGTTCAGTTGGAAAGACAAATCATTTCAGGGTTTTAGAAGAATCATGGACTCATGATCTTTTATAAAAAGTTAGTTCTGCAGTTTTACTTAGCAAATGCAGTTGTCATGTTTCTTCTTTGAGTTTGTAAATACATGTCTAATCTTCTCATTTAAACTTCCATTTTGGGAATTCATATTATTAACTTAAAGGGGAACAGAGATTTGGGGGCTTAAATTACTTTTTAATATGAGTCTCTCATGTGAAGATGAAACAAAATAGCACTATAAAAATCCATCTAAGAATCATATTGGCTTTTAGTTTTTAGCCCCTTGATTTGCAGTTATTTTGTTCATCCTACCTTCTAGTTTATCAGCTGATGAAGAAAATAACTGCAAATCAAGGGGCTAAACTATATATATATATATATATATATATATATATATATATATATATATATATATATATATATATATTTCCTGCAATGGAGCTCTGGATATTTCTCTGCAAGTGGGAGGAGGGAATACAAGGCATAACAGATATCAAAATGTACAGATATTAGCTCATATTTTGCCTTTCTGTTTTCCTGCCTAAATTCCACTCCCTCCCACTTTAAGCAAGAATACTTCTGCAGTTTTTATTTTCTGCCATCGATCTATTTACAGATTACTCACTCTAAAATTACAAAGGCCACCTCCTCATCTAAGATTGCTAACCTTGCTCTAGGATAAAGTCACAAACTTAGCCCATTTCTTTGAATTTACCTAAGATATGTTCTGTGTAGATCTTAAGGTCTATAGAATAGACCTTAAAGAACTTAAAATATCTTTATTCCCAATATCAGAATATGTTTCTATATTTTAACAGGTTATATATAATTTATTTTTGCTTAAAGAAAGATAAAAAACCCACACACCAAGTGTTTCAATTTATAGATGTGTGGAATGTGTGTGTGTGTGTGTGTGTGTGTGTGTGTGTGTGTACTCATGTATGTGTGCAATAAATACATAGAAAATACTAATGCAAAAGAATGGTCACTGCCGCAAAGCAACACAACACAACTCAGGATAGAAAAAACCCTTTTGATTCTCTAAGTCCAAATCTTTCTGTCAGGGTGTCTAGTCCCTGTCTATACACTATTGAGCTGTTTTTCTTTTAATCTCATTGAAAGATGAAAGTGACATGTTTACAGAGGAAGCATTCACTATCAAGAAATCTCATGATTCCCCAGCTTCAGTTTCTTTCTTTTTTTTTTTTTCCTCCAATGTATTAGCCTTGTCCTATGTAAAGGAAAACTTACTATTAGCAGTACATTTGTGGTGGAATGTTAAGACACTTTTAACATTTGCCATATCAGAGAGAAAATGCAACTTGGGTTAATGCCTGCTAATAATCAGTAAGTCATATTTACATTGTTTGTGCATGAAAGCTTGAATTTCTTTTTCTGAATAGTGGCAAGAAAAACCCCAAGACACTCTTTTATGTCTATCAAACTGTTGGAATTATTGGCTGTTTTTACCTAGAAATGTCTGTTTAAAATGTGAACCCTGAGAAAGAAGATATCTACTAAAAAGGGCTCCTGGTGGTTAATTGGACTGAAGCAAACAAACAAACAAATTATCAACAACAACAAAACCAACAAAGAGCAGAGTCTAGCAGCCATTTATACACATTCCAACTGTACTTCAGGGAAAAGCCTGTTACCTGTCTCCGCACTGAACTGCCTTTCTGCACTGTGTTCCTGCCATCTAAGCCAGCCTTTATAAAATAGTTTCTGGAATCTACTTCAAGCAATAAGACTGAGGCTTTCCCTGTCCAATCAGAGATGTGCAAGTTATCTCCACTAGCTTCTTCACTGACCAATCAGGATAGTGACTTTTGGGCTAATTAAACTGTGAGGATTTGGAAACCTCATTTGCTTGAGGATAGACCAATTAGGGACCAGAAGTAGGGATTTCTGTCTGTATAAGTCAGCTCCCTTCTGGCTCTGGGAGTGCATTTTCTCTTCCATAGAAGACTGCTTTTTCTTGGCTGGAGCTGAAACACTAAAAATGTCTCACTAGAACAGAACAGATCAGACCAGTGCAGGCCAGATCCAACTGGCATAGAAGACCAGAGCTGTCTAGCCAGAGAGGGCCTGACCCCATGGCCACCTGGCCCCAGGGCGACCTCAAAGTCATTAAAATCATTATTGAGTTGTTCCACAGCTGTGCTGTTTTCACGGCCATGCTGTATCATAATTAAGCTGTTTTTCACGTAATAAAGTTTCCTTTTTCACCACACCCCAAACTGGAGATATCTGTTGGGATTGAGTTGGTACCAGTGACCACCAATTGACAAGTTAATTATCATTTTAATTGAATTAGATGAGAGTGGGGTGTAATATAGGCACCAAATAGCTGAAAACAGTGGCAAAGCCAGTGGCACCTGAGAACTTTCCAAAACCATAATAGGCTTCATAAAGTTATGGATACTAGCTCAGACTTTGCCTTGTAACTTGTTTGCTATCATGCAATGAATGTCTATTAAATGCCGATTGCATAAAATCATTATTTGTCTTAGTGTGGATTGTACCAAAAGTTTCTAGGGAGAGAAAATAATATCCATTACAGAATCAAATAATGGCATAAAAAAGAATAGACACAAACCTGAATATCAGGTTTATCATTAGCTGCATATCATATAATAAATAAAGACCACAATGGAATTTCAGAAGAAATGAGCTATAATTTTAGATTAAAGTAGTTGTGAAATATTTCATGTGAAGATGGAGCTTGAGTTGTATGTTGAAGGATGAATAGGACAGATAAATGGGTAATAGAAGTTGAGGATTTGCCAAAAGATAGCTTAGTTGTAAAAGTAGCTTAGCTATAAATGCCTTTCATTACCCATACATAGCCTCTTATTTCATGAAACAGCTATAGCTATTACTCACATATATCTCAATAGGTTTTTGAGGAATTTATTAAAATGCTAAGTGATGACCATAAAAGGACATGTTTATTTTTTCATAACAATTATGAGGTCATGAAAAATGTGATGGTACAGCTAAAATCACATATTTTCAAAGAAATTTTGCATATATGTAAGTGCATGCCAAGTATCACTTAATATACATCCTTTCAAGAAGTTTTACTTTGGGTGGTGGGCACACAATGCAATATACTGGTGATGTATCATGTAGATATATAAAAAGGTAGTGACCATAACAACTGAAGGCTCAACCAACTGGAAGCCAGTCCTGCAGTCAATGCTGGGTTACCATTGCTGAGGGGGCTGCAGATCAGGGCCAGAGAGAAGCCTGGAGAGAGAAGCAGGGTCTGATCTGTAGCCTCCATGGCAGCTGCTGATCAGCCCTGCCTCTCTGATCAGGCCTTGAGATAGGCCCAGAGTTGCTGACTGGCATAGAAACTGACCAATCAGAACAAATATGGGTGAACTGTGAAGGCAGAACCTAAGGTGGGAGCTGAGGAGGGGTTTTAAGGCTGTTGGGGCAAGATCAAACCTGCAGGAGAGGGCAGTTGGGAGAGATCATGCAGGCAGGCAGAAGCAGTTAAGGGCAATCAGGCAGGCAGAAGCAGTTAAGTGCAATCAGGCAGGCAGGCAGAGAGGTTAGGTGCAATCGGGCAGGCTGACAGAGGGATTAGGGGCAATCAGGCTGGCAGGCAGAGGCAGTCAGGAGTGATCAGGCAGG